AGTGTATCTAAGCAATACACAAAATGCTATTTAGAAAATTACTTATGAATTATTAATGTGGAATTAACACAAGAAAATTTTAATTAATACCATTTATAATAGCCTAATAATCTGTATAAAAATGAAACTGCTGAGAAAAATACAAATTAACTTCTATACAATTTATATGCAAGTTTTATCTAATAATTTTTTATTTATATTCCACATAAATATATTAAATATAATTGGCCATTTACAGAAAATAGGCTATAAATATAATTCATTTTTAAATATTGTATTAATTAAATCTTAAATTTGTTAATAGGTTTCAATGATTACAAAGATAAGATTTCCAGACTAAAAATTGATAACGTAAATATTGCTTACAATCAATGGCAATTATATTTGAAGCTTAAATATTTAATAATTAAATAAAATATTTACAGACGTTTAGGCCTACACTCGATAAATGTAAGTAATACACGTCGTAATTTAAACAATTCTTAGGATAGAATTGTAAAAATTACGATTGAAATCCCATTTATAATTTCAATAAAGCTATATAATAAATAAAATGCAACCTCATAATTATCATTTGTATACAGAGATTTGCAGCAATTGTTTTTCTCCTCTCCGTTTATCTCATAATTAACTTTTTAAAGAGAAAATCTTAAAATAATTACGACAGTTTCCTAATAATTCATTACGTTTAAATTATATTTTAAAAATTACTCCCTCGATTATATTAGTTTAAAATTTGAAATCAAATTCACTTACTTAAACGTTAAAGAAGACAAAAGATCAGTCAAAATAGATGTTACTATACGAGCGGTTTGAATGTTCCTTAGTAAACACTACTAAGGTAATGCTAACTAAAGTGGACTGAGCAGATGTGCAACTATAATTAGTCAACGTCAAATTTGTATGAAACAAAACTAACTAGTAATTAGAAGGTCAATTAACAGGCAGTGACTACAGACTTCGCCCGAAGCTCGCTTCTCTTAGACCAAAGATGTCCGTCGAAACAACAACTAGGCCTGCAGCAGGAATAAATAACATACTTTCGATACGTGAGATAGTCTAATTTCGATAATTTATCTAATTCTTTATTCGTCCGAAACAATTGGATATTATATTCTTCTCCAGCGGATACCTGGATGCAACTACTTTCATCTAACCACCCACAGGAAGAAAACTAAAATGGAGTGGGTAAGACTAGTTTGATCAGTTTCTAACCTATCTATAAGCCTAATTTATTTATAACTGGTTTCCTTTTGTTTATGATTTCTTCTCTTTTATTATTATTAATTTTTTTATACAAAATTTTAAAAAAATAACTTGTAAATTTCTTTAAGATTTTACCTGTAATATAGTAAAAATTTAATTTAAAAAGCTATAATACAAAGCGCACTTCATAAAACTCTTTTAATTTTCTATAAACAACTATTAAAAAGGGTAATTAAATAATAGACAACAATTATAAATTAAATAAAACTTCTATAATTAGTGAAACTTNGACGAGACAATCCCCGGGTACGAATCCGTCTATCAGACACTTAATATTTCTTTTATACAAATTTTGTTTACAATTAAAATATTTTAGTGTTAGAAAGGATCCAAATCAATTCGGAAGTAGGACCCGTCTCAGCTTAATAACCATAAAAATCTTTAATTAAAATCAGTAAAACAAATTTAAACTGATTTTTCACCACTTATCAAAAGAAAGTTTAATTTATATTACTTTTCTATGTGTTTTTTTATGTAACAAAGTAAATTTTTGGGATTCTTCTGTGTCCGCACACCCAGAAAGAGATAAAAATCCTCTTAGACATCCTTTCTGTAATTAAATTATTAATAATCTCTGATATTTATTCGAAAAAATAAAAATAAACAGACAAAATCCTTTAATTAGAAAGGAAAATATTCTTTAAATGATATCGAAAATAAATTATTTCGACGACTCTTCGTTAGCCCATGATATAAAGCGATTAAAACGTAAGCATTATATTGCCGTGATGTGAATAACCAATCAACCAATTAAGCAATTAATTTGTTATTCCAAGATAACTTTAAAAAAAAAAAAAAAATTAGGACCGGATTTAAAAGCTATAAAAGAAATTAAGACTTAATGTCTATAATTAAAAATTCGAGTTTTTATATTATAGGCTACATAAAACATTTTTGCATTATAAAATATACAAACGATAAATACAAAGAACTTTTAAGTGTTAGTAATTTGAAATCTTCATAATTATAATGGACGTTTTCTTCTTCCATATCGAATCTCACTCCTCATTAACACTATCTTATCACTCCCATCAAACACGTTCTTCATTTTAAAAAATTTAATTCTTTTTTTTTTTATTCGTCTTTGCTTCGTTGGCTTACAATTCGACTTTTGTTTATTATAATTTATAAAATATTCGGAATTTTTGTGTTAAAAATACATATATATAGGGCCTATAAATGCTCAAACCCGTTCGAGTCTAGTTTACACAGGTTTCATTGTATTTAAACTCTTTTATATGGAGAAAAATGGACTCTCTTCGTGGAGGATGCAAGTTGGAGAGAGGGAGAGATTTTAAAAGAATAACTCTATAATTAAACCTTTATTAACAATCTCTCAATACATTTTTGATTTACGATTAACGCATTAATATTAAACAATTTATCGAATTTACTTACAATTAAAATAATATTACAAATGCTTTTTTTTCTGAATAAAGAACATCTTTATTTAATAAATAATCTCCACGTTTGTGTTCTCGGCTAAGGATCGTGAGTCAGAGTCGGTCGTTAACCAATTACAAATCATTCTGCATTAAGTAGGCGAATGCTTATTGGTTGACTTATAACTCTTGATCCTCGATTGTGAATACGTACCGCACAGAGTACATTAGAGATGTAATGGAGGCAAAAGAACGAATCGNAAAAAATAACTTGTAAATTTCTTTAAGATTTTACCTGTAATATAGTAAAAATTTAATTTAAAAAGCTATAATACAAAGCGCACTTCATAAAACTCTTTTAATTTTCTATAAACAACTATTAAAAAGGGTAATTAAATAATAGACAACAATTATAAATTAAATAAAACTTCTATAATTAGTGAAACTTAAATATTACTTTCAATTTACTAGGATTTCATGTTTATTAGATAATGGATGTAGGCCTATTACTGTTAACTGTATATAAATTTCACAATATATCTCTTAAATATACTATTTACATGAACTACTTTCCAGTCTTAATTCATTGATGCTGAAAATAACATTAGAATTTTAATGATAGTTTAAGTACAATTAACCTCATAATTGTTAGAAGAATTAATCAATGAAATGGGAAATTGCTTCTCTTACTTTAAAAAAAAAAAGAAAAAAGAAACTTAAATAAAATTCGAGTATTAAAAAGTTTCGAGATATTATTTTATACAAAGAGAAAGAAAAATTATTACAGTAAAACTTGTTTAAAACGGAACTTGAATAAAAAGGAAACCTGAAAAAAACGGAAAAAATTGTTCTGAACGGAGCGATTCTCTACGTTTAAAGAAAAACCTGTTTAAAACGGAAGCCTGCCAAACTGGAAAAAAGAAAAAAAAAATATTTCGTATCGTGTGAGTCCGTTTTATTCAGGTTTTACTATATAAACTAATGTAAACCGCATCAAATTATTTTATCCAATTTTGTAGATTTCTATCTTATTTAGGTTCCATTTTAGACAGATTTTACTGTTTAAAAATGTAATACAAATTCTTAATTTAATAAATTTGTTGCTACTATTTTTAACAGCTCCAATTTAATTAAATAATAATAATAATATAAAAATTAATAAGCATTATTATTATTATTAATATTATTATAANAAATTTTTAGAATCAAAATTTTAAATCACATTAACATATCAATATTAATATGATTATTTATTATAAACTAAATTTTTTATTAATAAAATATCCAGTGAAAAGTTTATTTAATTTCATATATAAAGCTAATTTCAGCATCAAATGACAGTTATTGAGATATCTTAATGTCAATTTTAAAAAAACTGGGAATTTTACAGAAAAGAAATACAGTTATAGAGCCAATAACTTATGTTTTGAAATTTTGTATCAGTTATTATTTCTTAAGTAAGCTGTTTTCCTAGTGCCACATGGTTTATTCAGATGAAAAGGCATTTGAACAACCATAAAGACACCTAATTACCTCTAAACAAAGAGAGTGAATATAATAGAATTTTTTTTTTCTTTTTAATTTTCTGTACAAAAATGAGACATTTATGATGAAAATAATTGACGAGTTTCTATTCAGTTTTTAAAATTATAAAAAGAAAACCTAAAATGCTATCAAAGACTTGAGAATAATAGAAATATTAAGATTTAAAATATTAGATAATTATTATTATTTATTATAATAAAAGTGTATAAAAGTATACGACCGAAAGACATTTATAAATTAATTATCATAGCATATAACTTATTATTGTTTTTTAATATGTCTGTATACTTTAAGCGTATGTAAAACTTCTAATTAATTTATAATTATTTTAGCTTTGAATATTAAATTTTTTTGTTATAGTGATTTTATATTTTATTTCCCGATAAAGAATATAATTTTAAATGGATGAAACAAAACATTGTTTGCATTAAAATCGAATTATTCGAGAAATTCTTAATAAACATTATTCTAATTTAAACCGTATATTATAATCATAATAAGAAAGAATTCTCAATATATAATTCATCTTTTATTATTTAGGCCTATATTAGGATATATTTACTAATACAATAAATATATACAATAAATATTTTTAAAGTGGATATTCTCGTTTAAAAGGTTAATATACGAATTTCTTTCAAATTTTATCCTAAATTATGTCATAAATAATATATTGTTTCTGCTGATAGAGAATTTTTGGCTTTTACATGTGTGCAGAACGTAGTCTAAATTGATTTTTCGTTCTATCTTCTATAAGGAAAATGAGTGATATTTGTTGTTAAAAAATATGAAAGTGAACGAACTTACCAGAGGAAGGTCTGTCCGAATATCTCGTACAATAAACCCAGGCTGGCCAGAGAATTGAATCTTTTTGTTTGGCATCATTGTTTTTATTTTTGTTTGAAGAACAATGAATTGTTTCCGATTCATCGGCATAAACAAACTTAGTTTCTTTAGCAACTTTACCAAAATCCGGCGATAAAATTTTCTCGATGGAAAATTTCAAATGTCCAATTTTTTGTCTATGGTCTTTAGCTGGATGGGTGGCTTGACAAATTTGTCTTTCCATCCTGTTGGACCATTTCGTCGATTTCGACCACCAATAACCAACCCCGCATTTCATTTAACCTACATAATCTAATTATCGACAACCATATTAAATTGAAGCCATCACGGAACGTGTCAAGAACTCGGATTTTTCGCCCAACTTTGTCGAGGTTTAGGAAATAACGGCGATTTCATGACTCTAAATGTAAAGCCGTCTCGATCACACTTTCATTTCCAGTACCACCCATACTATTGAAGGCCACGTGTTTCTGACCAATCACGGTTTAGCAAAAGATGGTCGCCATGGTAACGCAGTAGTGATTATTACAATAGGGGGAGGTATGCGTTGTCGGTGAGTGACACAAACCTATACAGCTCCTTCGTCAATCTGTATAGATAATTAGGTAGACGGAGCACCTCTTCTATCAACCGCACGTCAATTGATCGTAATATGTTACCTATAAATGAATATGTTCAGGCTTTTTATCTAATTATCGTTAAAGGCATCGCTTTATTCTGTCTCCAACCCAATTCGTTTAACCTTTTCCATTCTTGGCTCCTTACTCTAAGGAAATTAATCATTTTATTTTCGCTTTATTCGCCGTTAAATTTACTAATAACAACGATTGCGTTTTAGTTACAATTCTGATGAAAAATATAGAAAAAAAAATCGTTGCGTTTTCTTTACATTTCCGATGAAAACCCACCTAATTGAAATTCATCACTTGCGTTTTCTTTCCTCACATGTTTCGTTTGCATGATTTTTATGGATATCAGCAGCAAATTTATGATTTTATGCAACCAGAATTGGCTTCAATTAAGTTTTATCCCGCTGTTTCTCTAATCGTTATTTAAACTTACGAGCATTTCCATTATAATAAGTCATTAAGTTGTATTAAAAATTAATGTTTAGAAAAAAAATATGTATATATATATATACTTGCTAGGTTAATTATTTATAGATCCGAGATTAGACCTATACACCCAACAAATAGGCGTATACAACATTGATCTAACTAATGATTGTTCCGAAAGACAAATGAATTTGTTGAAAATAGCTTCATTTATATACAAAACAAGAAGATTGCAGACATTACTTGCAGCTATGATAAATAAAAAAATTTAAATTTTATCATTTTTTTTTAAATATATTAATTATTGTAATTAATATAATTTATGCTTGTAAGCAATTAGTAGCTAATTTTATATAATTCAAGTTTTTTTATTATTTATTTATTTGGGTCTAACAATATTAAATAATTAAAATATATTTCGTTAAATATGATCTTTAATAGAGAAAAAAAATCAATATTTTTTCTGGAAAATCATGATTATTTTCTTTAGGTAAGCGAATTTAAGTTAATTTAATGATTAAAACATGCTTATATTATATAGGAATCGTGTTTATAAAATATATTTACATCTAATCATTGCTTATAAACAAATATTTACGCTAAATATTATTCGAGTAGATTTATTTTTTAAGAATTTTCAATATATTGTTGCAAGCAAAGGCGATTCGAACCAGAAATTTTAATAGTATTATATTCTTATATTACATAATAAATTCGTATATTATAATATACATATTGAGAAATTAAGATCGTAAAATGCAGAAATTAAATAAATATTTATATAATTATATATGTTTGTAAGTAGTCTGTATAAGCATATTTAATATTANAATCTCAAAACATCTCTTATAAAACTGTATTGCCATATTCATAATAATGAAAGAGTAATTCATATTGAAGTACATCAAAAGGTCAGAAAATCGATTGAAACGTCTATATTGTAGCTTTCTTTATTATTAAATTGACTATGTTATGATATCATCAAATGGAATGTGAGGGGAACCATCATAACTAGAAACTTTGTTTAAAATAAGAAAGATACCGGGGTCTATGTTATAACGAAATGATAAATATTTTCTTCAAGAGGTAATTCACTGTGGACGGGATTGTATTTATTAACACTTATTATCATATATTAAATGTCAATACCTAGTTAAATCAGTTATAAATCTTAATAAATAAATAGGCTAATTAAAGTAAATAGTTAAATTGTATTAAAAATTTAAACTGGAATTGAATATAAATAAGGAAATATTGCCAAAGAATGACAAGAAGTCCATATTTTTAAATTTTTATTATCTAAAAAATATATTACGGTTTTTAACCCCGATTTATGTTACTAGTAGCATGAAAAAGGTAAATTTCCAGGGCTTCTCTCCATAGCTGAAGGTCCCCGATAATAAAAAAGAAATCACAAATAATGGACAATTTCGGATATAAAGCAAAACATTCGAGACACGAACCCCAGTGCCCCTGTTTAACGATCTCCCCGACATAATCGTGTCACGTCCATATTACGGCTCAATATCGTTGTTAATAACGTAATATTTAATTAAAATAATCGATTTTTATTTATATATATTTATAAAACTATATAATTATTATACGATTATAAGAGCAAATAGTATTAGGTCTATATATTATATTTAAAACTAAAGAAACTATTTTTACAGTTGCAAATTTAAAATATTCATAAAGTATAATAAAGAAATAAAAACACAAAGACGAATAAAACAAACTAACAGAGTTTTTGAAGAATTTAAACTAGAATCTAATAAAACACTCATTTCATAATACAATCTACATCAACTGTGGTTATTAATTGAATAAAAAGTTATATTTGTTATCGTGTAAACTATATTATTTTTGAATTTAAGAAGTTACCTCCATCAATCCTGTGTTTTTGAATGGAACTTGACAAGTATATCAAATAAATTTCTCTCTTCCTCCAAACTGAACCACACACATCGAAACGTATACAGGGTGGCCCTGAAGTAATACGGCAATATATTATTATAACTTTAATTATTAATTTAGTTTTCTTTTGTGTTATTAATTGACCATTATTTTGATTACTTAGATTACAAAATTCTCAAACAGTGAAAGATTATAACCATAGGACAGTAATAACTCTATAGTGTTGTGATTAGTAAAACATTGGACTGTTGTTATAATTAGTTTGAATTCTAAGTATTATGTATTGCATACATATTGTAATTATATTAATTTCTATTAATGACATTTCTCTTCTAAAATGCGAAAGTTTGACTTTCCTCTTACTAACGAACCATCCTGTATAATTTCATGTTATGACTCTAAGAATCGATAAGATAGAATATATAAGAATATATAAAATAGGAAAGTATAAAAATTAATTTAAAAAAAGTATTGCTCTTTAATAATATTTCAAGCAGAATTTTTTTAAAACAGGTTGTATTTAGTTATCGCTCCGAAACATCAATCCAATTTGAAGGATTTGACATGTCAAATATCAGCGGGACATCGCTAATTCATTAGCTGTATTCTATGAAGTCATTAATATTACAAAATGAATTTTAAAATATTGTAAATAAAAAAAAAGATTTCAATTATTTAAATCAATATAAAATTAATCAAGCGATTTTATAACAGATTGGGATGTCATTTAACGTATTACAGATAGACTTAACCTAGAAATAGGTATTTCGTTTAAGTTTAACATATAAAATAATTAAAATATATTTCGTTAAATGTAATTTTTAATAGGAAAAAATATAGAAACTAATCAATACTTACTGGAAAATCTTATGGTTTAACGCATTTAAATTAATTTAATAATGAAGCATGTTTGCATTACATAGTAGTGTTTATGAAATATATTTAGACCTAATCCTTTATTTATAAATCTGTCCTTTTAATTAGCTAAATTTCAAACAGGTTATTCCTTTCTATTTAGTTACAACTTATTTATTAAATTTGTTATAAAAATGTATATTTATAGATTTAGACTGCATGGAGAATTTATTATCTATCCTAACAAATGTAAAAAAATATTAAAAAAAATCCAACAATAATTTAATTTAATAAAATTTATCAAACTTCTAAAAGCTGAAGATCCATGAATCACTTTTGCAAAGATTGATAGCCTAATTGTTCAGCAGATCATCCCTACCGTCGGATGAACTCTAATTAATTTTATAGCCGTAATTTTGAGGATTATTTATAATATCGAATACTGTATATTTGAAATTTCTCGCTAAAATAGGCTACGTTATGTAATACTAATGTAAAAATTTCAGTTTAAGATATTTAAATAAAATCATCGAAACAATCCTGTACAGTACAGTACTTGTATATTTTGTATAGAGAGTATCAGGCCTATTATATCATTTTATAAATCAATTTTTACTATAAACGGTAAAATATTTCGTTTAATTTTTGCTCGATTTAATATCGGTAATGCAAAAATTTTATGTTATTATCCACAAAATACTGTAAATAGGCTAATTTTGTGGCGACAAGAGTTAATAATGCATTGGTGTAAACAGTTTAACAATTGTTAAAGGTGATGATTTAAATTAATTCTTATTTATATATTTCATTTCTGTAATTTAATATGAATGTAGTCTTTATCTCTTGTCAGAGGGCATGGCCCTTTATATCCTTTATAGCATATATTATAAAACAAATAAAAAAGTTTAGAATGATGATGATGATTATCATTATTATTATTTATATATATTAGAGCTATTAAATAATTTTGACCCAGCACTAAAATATTTAACAATTTCTAATATTCATATTTTCAGATTTGACATTCATTACAATAGTTGAAAATGTGTAGATTGCTATTGTTAACAATTTCATAGAAATAAGGACTAGGCCTATTATTATTTAAATATTTTATAAATCTAAAGATTTCTCATAGATTTTTAAATATAATTTGGGAATAGTGAAATTTAAATAAGTTGTAGACTTACTTTAAAAGAATGTCTACTCAAACACTAAAATAGCATTAAATACAGTGTTATAAACACTGTCAAATAGTAACATTAGCTTAGACACCATTAATTTAAATAGAATTCACATTTAAAGATAGTAAAATTCAATAAACTTAATTTTATTAATTTAATTTATGTTTATATCATCATTTACGTTTATAAAAAGTTTATTCCGTCAATAATTCATTAAAACTTTATTGTAATTTATAAAAGAGATTACACAAAAAGTATATGTCATGTTGTTTCTATTGATAGAATATGTTTATAAATATTATTCAATTACTGATGGGCCTATAATAATATTAAAAAGTTGTAAATGTAGTTAAATTCTTTATATAACGAAGGAACTTATGTTTTGAAATAATAAAAATAAAATAAATAAAGTGTAGCATATCATTAGACCAATCTATCTATCCATCAGGTAATATAAATATGATATGATGTAATTTATATTAAAATACCGAAAGCCTAATCAGTTTTATTGAGGGAAAAGTGGGGCAAGATGGGG